TGCATATCCCTTAATATCAACCTGGAGAGCTAAGCAGAAAAAATTCATCTTTGATATCCTAAATATAAAGTGGCAATAGGCTTACATAATTTTTATGAATCAATTTCTAAATATATTGTTTCTTGCTATTATGGGAAAATCAATTCTGTAGCCCATTGATTAGAAATTCCAAAATAAGGTGCTTAAATTTTCCTTAGAAATTTAATGCAGCAACATGTCAAATGGAAAACCAAAGAATTTGATTGTCCAAGCAAAGATATCATTAAGGTTTATACAAAATTTGACTCTAATTTAAATTATCATACTGATTAATATAAAATAAAAATAAATCTGGAAACTTAGAACTATGAAGGACTTGCTTTACCATTCACAAAAATAAACTGCTTCATTATTCTAACTAATGAACTATTGGTAAATATATTCAGATTAGAAGAGTGATTAAGAGACTGAAACTGTTATGGAGACAGTTTTGAGTTGTGGAGACAGGGCCTCAATGCTAAGGTAAATATGCTTGCATTTTTCTGCTTTTATTTTATTCCTTAAGAAACTAAATCTGAGAGTAGTCTTGGAGCATATATCACCTTTACAAACTTCTGACAGGGCCCTGCTGTGCATTCCCAAATTGACTGAAATAGAGCAGCAAATTCCAAAAACAAATTAGTGGTAGTGGTGAGTTCATATTAGTTATATTAGAGGGCTACAAGTGCTACATACATTTCATATTAAAGTCATTTGCCTTTTCATCAAGTTACTCACTTTGAGTTTATTTGGAGGATTTTTTAAATGTTGTGGGTTTTTTTTTTGAAACACAGGTAAATCTATGATTCTCTGCTTTAAGGATACAATTGACATATACACTATATCACTTTGGATCATTTCTCCCCTCCCCAATAAAATATAATATGATTTAATTTAAAAAAATAACACAGTAGATTCATTACATTGCATCATTAGAAACAGGTACTCACCCATGAAGCAGCTGTAAAAAACTGAATCCCTAATTATTGGCATATACTAAAGCAGACAAATGGAGTACTTTGTGATGACTCTATTAAACAAGTAATCCATGTCTTAATTAGAGAGCACACTTAAGGGTTTTGTAGCCCATTAGGTTATTAATACCTTGGTTGTCATGTAGTTTTACCTTTTAAGATTGCTGTTTTATAAAAATACAAGTGTCGATGAACAGATAGAACTAACTCTGTTGCCAGGTGTGCAAGTTTGGTCAAGATTCCAAGTCTTAGTTTAACTGTCTTCCAAAATGTGTATTTTCTACAAATATTTTAGTAAGACCTTAAGTGTTGTAAAATGGTTTAAGATCAGCTAAAGAGATTAAAGTGTTGTAATTAATAAAAATGGGTTTTTAAAGGGATCACCTCGATGTAGTAATAGGGCACACACAGGGGATAGAGGGAACTGATGTCAGTGGAGGATTCCTTTTGGTATCAGCCAAGAGTGTTTCCCAAAAGAGGGTGGGAGGAGTTGATAATGATAGACACATGGAATGGTGAGCCTCTGAAGGGCTTGTATTTTTCCATTTGTATCTTGGTGTACTTGGATTTCTCGAGCCCAAAGCCCGTTTGTGTCAAATCGTATTTCTAAAGTTGTATTTTGTCAGAGCCCTCTGCACACTTCTCCAAGTCGATCTCAGCTGTGCTGCCTCAACTCTCTTCCCCAGGGAGAGGAGAGACAGCAGATGGGGTTAGGGCAGAGGGCTGATGTGTCTGACAGCAAACGGCCGGGTTGTTGAGTGGAAGCTGCGAGCATCAGGAAGCTACTTTTCCCCTGAGAACCAACTAACCACTGAAGAAAGTTGAAAATGAGCCCTTTGAGAAATGCTATTAAAAGTAGTAAAAAATTGCAATTGTGCAGATGATGTGCTGCTGTGTGCTTATTCGGATGCTAATGAGTTTGACATTAGGGAACTCAAAGGGTTTACAGCTACTCCCTTATGTGATTCAGTTCTTTATTGGCAATCTTTGAGAAAATAAATGGAAAATGTATTGCTAATAAATACATAACACGATAGGGTATTAGACAAAAAGCCATTACTTTCAGGATTTAGAAAGAGCTTTGCTCACCAGTGTGACTGTTTTTCAGGATCTTTTGTTTTAGGTTAGACTGTGATGAACAAAGGGGAATAGGCAGGTGGAAGGCTTCAGAACTCTTTCTGAACTGAGGGTGAAGTAGACTAAGCCAAGCAAGCACGTTTTCAGAAAAAAAAACCTTTCTTTTTAGTTGCACTGAAACACAAACTAAGAATTCCCAAGCTCCCGTGCTACTTTTCAATTTTTACACCATGTGTAGTAATGTGCTCTCACTTGAGAAAGTTTTATCCATGTTTTTCCCTAGGAACTACAGTTGGTGACTAGAGTTGAAGAAGCATCTGTTAAATGTCTGCTCAAAGCTTACAAGTAATACAGAAGTCTATGGTTAAAAAGCTGGCCACTTCAATCCATTGCAAAGGGTAAACTAGGACAACAGAAATCTTCTGCAAGGAAGGTTGGTGGTTTGTGTTTTAAAATGAGAACTGCCAGATATAAATATTTTAATCTGCATTGATATAGGTGGTATTTCTATAAATAGCCCCTCTAGTGTACTGCACTGGATTTCAAAGTTTCCTCTTAAGGCTCAAATGGCTGGAAGACAGATCCTGTTCTTATCCCTAAGACCAAGTAGAGGTGATGCAGCTCTGTGCATTATGTCTGCAGGCAAAGTAAACCAAGAGGAAATTGTTTCCATGGAAAACAGGTTAAAATGTTAGCAAAAAAAATTAGTAGCATTTTATGACAGCCCATTAAAGAGAGTCCTAAATAACAACAGGATGAATTCTGAATCTGTTTTGTGACTTGAAAGTAGCACATTCCAAATCTTGTCTGAACTTTGTCTTTTGGTGGTTAAGAGTAAAATAGCAGTAATAATAGAGAGTCTTTCTTATCCAGTTTCCCTCATAAATTGAAGACATAATATATATAGTTTGGTAATAAATACAAAAATGAATTTGGCTTACCTTTAAAAAAGTAAAAATATGTTTACAATTGATGTGTAGCATAAAATATTTCATTCTGTTTATAGTATAGTACAACCAAAGTTTAGATAAAAGTGTCAATACATTATTTATTATTCACATTAGTGTATTTATTGTTGATCCTCTATTTAATTTGTCATATCTGATATGCTTCCCTTCTTTTATTTTTTATCTTAATAGAATGAATTTTAGGATTTCTCAGTGAAGTGGACAAAGACATTTAGTCACTTAGACAAAGCAGGGCAAACCAAGTTGGCATACAAATTACCTGGAGAAAAAGAGAGGTAAAGTAACATTTTTATGAAAAAGGAAAATATATTAAAATAAAATGAATCCAATCAAAGCATTTTTATAAAAGCTCTCCTGTATAACCATGCTTTATTTCTGTGGATTTGCTTTGAAAAATATATTGTTAGTGCTGAATTTAGAATTGTGATTTTTGTCAGAAGCATGGTCATTGTAATATTTAAAAATATTAAACAGAGGAAGAAAGCCTCTGAGCCTACAAACCTTTTGCATGTTGATTAGTATGTATTATTTGTTCATGCATTTGCCCTTAAGAAGTGTTCACAGAGTTGAAATAGTTTTAAAAATTGGATTTAAATTTATTTGTATTAGAAATTAATTATTTAAGGATTAAAAGTAAATCAGGTATATATTTTAAAAGCATGTTTTAAAAAGTATTATATGATATGTAGAGTTAATTCCTACAAACACTAAAAAGTAAGGAATTGGGTTGTTTTTGTTTGGGGGGAAGTCTATTTAAAATAATTTATCCATATATGAAGGAACTTCATATATGCTAACATATTTGCTAACATATGTTGCAACATGTCTCAAAATATTAGCAAGAAAAAAAATTTAAGGCCCTTTTAAGGTGTTACTGAGTTATGTTTAAACAGGGAACACTAAAAAAAATGTACAAAACAGTCTCCTAAAACATAAAGCCAGCAATTGCCCTCTTATGTTACAAAGCTGTGACTCAGAGGCCATGTACGGCGACTAATAGAAATCCTTGGCACACGTTGGCTACCTAAGGGAATAATAGAAGTATTTGCTGGAATCATTTGGCAAAAGGACACAAACATATGGCTTTGGTTTATATTCAGCATTGCCAGTTGTGCAAAGTTACAGGAAAAAGTGTACAACAGCAGTGACAACTCAGAAATTAGAAATGAGAATCAAAATAGAGTAGCCTCCTCAGAATGCTGCCCAACTGGTCTCAAGTCTAAGTTTTCTTCTAGTGCAGTGTATTTCTATATGAGTCTAGAAAATCACCTCATCTGAGGGAAAGGTGCAAGCATTTGGTCCTCAGGAAGAGCTATTCCCGAGAACTGTGTTGAATCAGATAGTAGATGGAATCTGCTTCTCCCTTTAAGCATGGTGTTTGTTGGTGGTAAGAGGGGTTAGTGGAGACAAGGAGATGTGTCATAAATGTAAAAGGTAGGCATTATGCAACTCTTTGGCTTTCTACACAGAGTTTGAAGACAATACAATAGGAGACAGATAGGAATGGAAAGTAGAAACCAGGGACTGTGTGCTCTAAATAAAAGATTCAGAATTTTTAAATTTTATTTAGGACAAAAGATTCAGAAAATTATATACATGTCTTCACTAATTATACAAAAATCCTGTTTGTATTAGTTCAGGCTTTTCAAATGCATATTTTCTGAATTATTCTTCTTGAGTAATTAATAAATGAATGAAAAGAAATCCAGAAAAGTAAAAAGAGGATAAAAACAGAGGAAAAACATTCTTAAACAGTATTCCTCTCAATGTCAACTATTGTTTTAGAATCATACTTCATTTTCCTCATCTTGCCCCTGTATAACAGGGAAGTGTCTTTTGTTGTCATTTTGGACTGATCCAAAGCTATGTTTAAACAAAATGATGCCAGAATTATCAAAAGAAAGGGCACTCAGTGTAAGATTCTTTGTTCTTCAACCTAGCCAAATTTTATCCCAAAGTACTGGCATCATCTTGTTGATTCATTTGGGGGTTTTTGGCCTTTCTCAACTTCCTGAGTTGCTCTGTCATTTGTTTTTTTAAAAATGGATCTTTGTGAGGAAAGCACCTACTGAGGCTTAAGGGCTCTTCATAGGGAAGACCTCGGGATCTCCAGGACTGAAATGACATCACACAAGACTAATATGACACAACACACAAAACCATGTTACTAGTTCCAAAGTAACAGGAGAGGAATACAAGAAATTCTTGTTAAAAGTGGAAATTATTGCAAGTTGAATATATATAAAGGACTTTCACATTTAAAGTAACTTCCTGTGTGAGACTGTATATACCCAGACAGTATTAAGATTAATTGTATAAGAATTTTGAGAGAGTTTCCTCAAAACCTTATGATCACCATGGTTTTTTCTATTCAGATTAAGAAACATAAGACTACTTATAAATAAGGAGTGAGGATGTCTGTGTGTAGAGTTCTGTTCAAGGAGAAAAAAACTTAAACATCACCAAATGATTTGTTTTATTCAGTTCATAAGTGATTAAGTAAAGCATAGGAAATGTATTCAATAATACTGTGATAACTATGTATAGTACAGTTGGGGTACTGGAAATATCGAGGAGAACATTATGTAAAGTATTTGCTTGTCTAGCCACTAAGCTGTACAACTCAAACTAATACAAAATAAAATTGAGAGAAAAATCAGTAAATAAATTGGAGCAGAAAATTAATACATGTGTGTGTATGTATATGGTCTGTCCAAAGGTATCCAGCCATGTAATATGAAAAATAGAGATATTTACTAAACATGATACAAGATACAATAAACATTGTACATAGGACAATGATACCTCAGTCCCCTTCAAAGTAGGTACCTTGGGACCTCACGCTGTTCTTCCAATCTCCATCAGCTGCCCCATGGTATTTTCCTGAATCTCATCATTGGTCTGAACTCTCTTCCCTTTCAAAGGTGATTTTAGTTTTGAGAAAAGCCAGAAGTCACAGGTCACCAAATCTGTGCTGTAGGGGGTCTGAGTCATCTGGGTGATTTGATGTTTCATCACAAAACTCTGCATGAGACATAATGCATGAGTGGGTGCATTGTGATGAAGCTGCCAATCACTATTTGCCTATAGCTGCAGGCTTCTGAATCATCCTAACAATTTCCATGGAGGAAATACTCAAGTTTAATGCAAAATCTGATGCAGATTCATTGCTCTATTCACTTAGTCACTTTGAATACAATGGCCACACAGTACACATGCTCACTCAATGGTGCCTACTGCTCCCACGGACTAGTACAGTGAAATCATCATTGTTCATGCATGTACATTCCAGTCCACTCTCCTTGGCTGCCAGGTTACATCATAGTCATGCAAATGATTCTCATTATATATTAACAATGCTGGATTTTTTTTTCAGAAAGACCTTGTGTATATACTTACTTGGATTTTCTTACTATTAAGTTAAAGTAGGATTATGGGTAAAAACTAAAATTAGCCCTGGCTGGCATAGCTCAGTGGATTGAGTGTGGGCTGGGAACCAAAGTATCCCAGGTTCAATTTCCAGCCAGGGTACATTCCTGGGTTGCAAGCCACAGCCCCCAGCAACCACACATTGATGTTTCTCTCTCTCTCTCTCTATCTCCCTCCTTTCCCTCTCTAAAAATAAATAAATAAATAAGTAAATAAAACTAAAATTAAAGTGAACTAAGTCTCTTCATACACCAGTAATTTACTCATGTGAATAAAAGTAAAATTGAGTTTATGAGTTCTGTGCTCTTCTCCTTGAATCTCTCCATCCCACAAATGGGTAATTCCTGGACTCCCTTGTCAGCACAAAGGAAAGCACCAGGTCTGTGCATTGGGGTGTTGTGGACAGGAGACCAAGTAATGGTCCCTGATGTAAGAACTAGTAAGCAAAGATGGTCAAGTACAAGTAACTAAGAAATTACTGTGTGTACTTCTCTATAGGTTTATAGGTATATAAGATGTTAAATGAGAACTTTCCAAATTCAACCAAGCAGTTACATTTTATTTTATGGTCATTTTTCTTTTTCATTGCCGATCTACTTATTTCCACTGTTTGTTCTTGCATGACTTTCCTCCAAGTTTTGCTCTTTTGCCCTCTTCTTTTATAATACCTCTTGTCATTTCTCTTCCTATTGGCTCCTCTCCCTAGAGAACTGGGGAATAAAGTTTTCTTCATGCTCTATTATGAACTAGATCATAAGAAAGAACATACCTATGCTATAAGTTAAATAAATTTTTTAAAAAAGTAGGTTCAGATCAGGAAAAATGAGAATGGCAAAGCCTACCTTTAGTATTCTTACTTTATTGAGAAGCAGACTGCAAAGCCAGCAGAAACCATTATAGGTATCTCAGAAAATATCTTATCTTGTCCCTCCATAAACAATGGAATGAGACAGATAAAGGTCCTAAGAAATTGAGAGATGGACAGCTTTTTAGAAAATCATATCTCTGTTTTGGAAAAGTTGCTCACTAAATTTTATAAAATAAATTGCATCCTTGCCAATAAATTTGGGTCTTAAGTAGTAAAGATGATCAAGCTTCCTTTTGCAGTGGAAGGGATGAACAATGTTCCCCATGGGAAATGTCATTTTAAGATTTCAGCACATGTTATTTAAGTCAATGTCCTGAATCATACCACAGTCACATGCCTGCCTCTTCATAACTCTGAGAGGATATGAAAGGATGGTGGTCATCACTACACCCCCGGTCTCAACACATGCACTGAGGTACAAATCTCTTTCTACCTTTAATCAACCACTACCCAAATGAGTTACCCACTGAATATGAAGTATGACTTTACAAAAGTAATTCTATTCATTGGAATTTTATTCAGGTCCATTAGAAAAGTTCAAATGAAGAACACTTAGAAATTTCTAATCCCATTCAAAGTTTTAGAGAACAAAAACATATTTTCAAATTGAGGTTTATAAGGAGAGTTGAGCCATCTCATGAATGTTATAAACTTCTATCCCCCATAAGGAAAGCACATGTGCTTTAGGTTTCTGATATTTCTATTCCATGACAAACTATGAGATGTGATTAGACACTGATTTTCATATTTTTATTATTCCTCAGGTATGAGGGGAAGAAAGAAAGTGAAATAGATAGGCTATATATTATGGCTTTGGCCCACTTTGTCCCTACAACTTGACCCACACATTAAATCTGAAAACTTACTTTTATAAATGAATAAATTATAATATTTATATAGGACATATATCCTACACCAACAAGAGGACAGTGGCCCCTCAAATACAAGTATAAACTAGCATTCCAAGTACAATCAAGCAGAGGTCCATGAATATTTATAATCCCTTCCAATGACTTTAATGGGGAGGTGGCTGCATGGGTAATGACAGACCAGTCAGGTCCTTGGATAGTTGAATTGCAAAATAGAACTAGTCTTAAAGCTGTTACAAAGAAGATTACTTTTAAGTAGGTTTCAGAAACTTCTATTTGTGCCTGCTGGCACTCTCTGCAGTCTGTGCTTTGTTTTTGGGAAAGAAGCTCATGGAGTTCAACCTTCACTTGCCTTTTGGGGAGAATTTTCACAGTGGTTGGGAAGAGCTAATAGCACCTGTGTGACAGGATAGCATTAAACTTGAGGTGACTTAATGCTCACTCACAGGAGTAGCTTCATCAGAAATGTGGAAGGTTTCATCATTTTAACCCTCTTGCTTCTGATTTCTCTCAATCAAGTTACTCATTTAGCACATGGAGAGGAGTCTGCATGAGTTCAGCCACTTTATATGCATCAGAGATATTTACAGAGAAGGAGGATTTCACAATGCAGTGCTCACCATCCTGAGTAAACCAAGCCATTTTAATCCCAGGCAGTGTCACATCTGTCATAAATTCATGTGGCTTCATGTAGAAGAAAAATCTACAGGAAAAAATTCACTTCTATTTTATTGTTGTTTTCTCTTATGTAATTTAAAATAGTTATAACAATGAGCTATTTTATTTAGACTAAAGCAACTGCTGTTCAGCAAAAGCAACAAACACTTTTTGTTTTCTAATTTAAAAAAATAGTTGTATGATTGGTGTGGTGTTTGTTATGAAATAATGACAAAAGAGTGCTGGTGGTTTTAATAGTTTTAGCTTAGGAGGTGTCATTAATTTTGTCTGTAGTGTTGCAGGTGAAAAAAATGCACAATGGATAAATAGTCTATATTGGTTTAACTGAACATAATATATAGTATGTTCTGGAGTTGTTTGTCTCAATAGACTATAGTAATCAAAAGTAATGAACCTATTATGTGCAAGACCTTGGAGAGCGTCAAATGGCAGTAAAAGTGTGGTGCATAAAAGGTTTATTAAAGGAAATTAAAGTCCATCATTGCCACACCTGCTCCCCTATTATAAGTCTATGGCAGGTCAGTGCCTTCAATCACAACAGCCTCAGAGAGCAGAGATGTGTCTCCCATTACCATTATAGTCACATGGCTTCCATGCTAGAGTCAGGATTTAAGGATGGGAGCCACAGAAAGCACCTTCTGCCTGCATCGGATTTTCAACCAGCAAAGCAACTTCTTTCTATTTCAGAAACCTTTCTGATAATGTGTAAAAGTGAATTAAACTAAGAAATTATTAGAAGAGTCTAGTGAAGTGGATGAATGCACTCAGGTCAGGATCTGTCTCCATATGGACAAAAAGAGCAGGCTTCTAAAGTTTTGCATCCCTTTAATAATGTATTTAATTATATTTAAAATATTTAGTGATGGTGTTTTAGCATATTTTCTGACACACACAATTCTCAAATTTCACCTTTCTTATAGATTTATTCCAGAATTCTTATAGTAAATGTATGTTATTATTGATGATCAACATTTCTAATGGTATTTTGAAACAGGAGCATTTCAGGGGTTTGCCTTCATGTTGCTTTTTAACTCAGGGAATTATTTTTCCTGCTTTGGTAAGAAATATGTATCAGAAAAGGTCCAGAAATCCAAAGGAATTAGGTTTTAGTAAATTAGTCTGAAAACTTTTGCTTTGGCATTTGAAATTTTGTCTCCTTCACAACCACTGTTAATGAGATAATCATTTTTTTCCTGATTTGTAATGCCAGAAGTATTTGAATCACTAGTAAACACTTAAAGACATCTGCCATACTTGTCACTGCTTCCTCTGGTTATAGCATCTATGAAAGTATTTCCAAAACTTGTGGAGTGTGAGGTCACTCAGAGTTCTACCCCTATGGAGTCAGAGCACTATTCAACAGCATGGAAGTTTACTCTGTTTTTCATAATGACTTTAAGAACCTCTAATGACATGTTTTCATATTTTGGTCAATGTCAAAGAAATGACCTCAGGACTTGTGCTCATGTTGCAGATGGATGCAGAGGCTGAAGATAAAATGCTGCATACCCGCTCTAAAGGAATGAAGGGTGAGTTAGCAAGCGAGTTCCAGGACACCATGCCCACCATACCATGAAATATGGGTGTTCCCATGCTCAGGCGCTGGTGTTCACTCAGAATGATTGCCACTTCTGCAGGGCTTATTTTTGGAAATCAAGCTAGAACTTTTAATCATGGTATTGAGAGGCAACATATTATGACCCAGGAGTTAACAGACTCCAAAATCTCCAAATGATATATAATGCTAATTTTTACAAAATGCAAGTGTGAGTGGACTTGACATCATGCAAAATAACATAAGGGTTACTGAGGTAAGACTGCTCCATGGAGACCTTCAAATTATTTAAGTGACCCATAATGGCCAAGGCAAAAGACCACATTGTCAGTTTATTGCCAAAGCAGGTTTTGATTTTTAGGTTATCTGGTTTAGTGGTTCCCAATCTAAACTTAGTTCAAGTAAAATGATGATTTTTTTTTACTGTTCCTGCTGGGAATTTCCAGCAGCTCTGCAAAGAAATGTTTGAAAAGTTTAACTTACTGGTAATCCTTCTCTTTTTGTAATCAACAGATGGTAATGTAATATTGAAATATAAACAGGCCCTTGATGATATAAACACCTGGAAGACAAGATTGACTGGCAATAATACACCTTAAGGAAAATAACTTTTAATATAATTAGTTATGTTTTTGCGATCCTTAATTCCAAATGGGAAACTATAGACTCACCATGGCCTCTGAAAATACTCTGGGTAGCAGTTCCTCGCCCTACTCTTTTCACATCGGCTTTGCTGAGAAGGGCTGAGTCAAGTAGCAATTGTACAATACTTTGGGAGTATTTTGAGATTTATAGTTGAAAGTGGTTAATTAAATGGAATGTTTTCATTAGCTATGTTTATATTTGTAGACAAAACAAATAATTCCAGCTTGAGTAAAGTTCAGAATCCCAAAATTTTTAATAAATTCCAGGGTGATTTTTTTAAATTAAAATGTAATTGTGGTCATCATTGGCCATGATAAACAAAGTGCAGAATAATACTATATGAGATATTGGGCTTTACTAAATAGAAATTTTGCACAGTATTGTTTTCCCATTTTAGTTTAAGTTATTTTTTTAAAGTAATTATATCACATAGTCTAATATTTGGAATGCAGTATTTAAAAACATAAAGTTTTTATGCACCAAACTTCTCAATAGAATACAAGTTAGGAAAAGAGTTTCTATAATTATTTAGGATAAACTCATATCTTCCATAAATATCAGTGTTTTAGGGACTGTACTTGGATTATTTCAATCTCTTGTTTAGATTCCTAGAAACTACTCTAGCCTACTTTTAAATTGTGGCAGTTTTAATTTAGAATTTTTTGGACTTCAAATTTTTTGAGCACATACATATACACTCTTAAATAGAGCCAAAATGTTCTTCAAGAAATGAAACAACTGTTTCTCATGTTGAATGAGTAATCTTTAAAACCACCTGTTGTCTCTCTCAATATGCTGTTGTCCTTGGGTATTTATAAACATGAACTTCTTCAGTTACCATCATTTCAGTAAGAAATATCAAAGCTCTTTGTTTTTATAAATTTCTTACTTTTAAAGTGATGTTGATATCAACATAGCTAAAGCTTATTCACCTCTTTCCTTATGTATGGAAATTTATTAAACAAATCCTGGGACATATTTATTAGTAAATCTGCTAGTTTTATTTATATACTTGTTTAATGTTGACATCTAAATAGAATACTTTTTGAAAATTTTTATGAACAAAAAAGTGGGTTAAATTGATTTAAAAAATAATTCAAGTCCTTCGTTCCCCTTTGAATGTATCTCTAAAGACAGATATTTGGAAAGTGCAATCCATGACGTCAAGTTCCCAGGGTCACCTTGGGCACTAAACCTAGAATCATTTGTTCTGGGACCTATTCATTTGCGCTCTTGTCTCCAAAGAACCAGACCCATAAAAGATGAATCTACCAGGTAGGAAATTATGTGTGGGTTATGCTAATCATCTATTGGTCATTATCTCTAGGTAGGTAAAGGTTTCAGTTTTCAAATACACAATAATTTTCTTTCTTTCTTTTTTTTAATAGTGCCAATAAACTCTCTAATCCAGGAGCTCAGGTAAGATTTGTCCTACATTAATTTTTGTAATATTGATTTGCTTTAATTATTAGAATGTCTTGTATTCAGAGTCACCAATGAGCTTGTTTCATGTAGTCTTTGTCTATACACCAATGAGGTGGTGAAAAAGAAAAGCTATTGATAATTGATCCAAAACAATTCAAGCTACTATTGTGATAACAGAACCCAGCAACATTTTGCTGTAATCTGAGTAATTTTCCACTTTTCTCCATAAAGTGTGTGCTGCCTCTGTGAACACACCTCATCTGTGCTTTGTTTTTGTACTGACAGTAAGTGAAGAACTGAGCTATTATTTGTGAACTTATGATTTTAAATAATACTCAAATAATTCTATCAGGTGAGCACGTGATTTTTTAAATATAGGCATTTGAAGATAATATCACTGATAGGTATTGGGATAGACCCAAGCATTTTCACCTTAGATACTGTAAATACACCTCAGGTAATATTCTGAAAAGTCCAACTTAATAGGTTTTGCAGAATACACCACAATTAGATTTTCCTTCACAGAGGTTAATTTTTTAAGTGCATATTTAAAAATAAAAACACACTGACAATGAATTTTCAGTATTAGTGATATTTTTAGCAAAATTATGTCAGGAGCAAGATAAGTATCTAGTCTCTTCTCTATTTATTATTGTAATCCCAGAAAGTCCCACACCCACTAACTAAAATGACAATGGTCTGTATGTGCTCCTCAGGGAAGTGTTTTAAAACTGAAGGATGTATAACCATGTCCGATACACATTGAAATTTATAGTGTGTGCATTAACAATTGACATAGTTATTTTCTAGGCAACTGTGCTCTGTGATGTCCTGAAGCAAGACATTATTTACTTCCGTGTCCTATGATTCATTCTGTCAGTTTTGTTTCACCTGTTTAGCAGAACACATATGTATCAGAATTGAGTACAAGCTTTCATGCTGATGCTCTTATCCGAGGAAATATTTTAGTAGGAAATCCATGGCCCTGCCTCCATGATCAATTTCACCATTGAGAATTTTGCATTTTAAACTATTCAATAACAGCAGAACATAGAGTATACCCCACATTGTGACAGGATTAAAAGATTGAATTGTTGGGCTCACTTCAGTTCTTGCTTTTAAAATCTGTTCTCATTTAAAATTCCTATCTGTTTGGAGACTTTATGTCCCCTGTAGAATGATCAAAAGAAGGTTAAATCATTAAAGGCTCAAAATGGGTGAGATGTTTGCCATTGCAAGGAATGGTTTCCTCATGGTCTGCAACAGAAACAGGGTGCCCAGGGACTCTGACCCTCTCACCTGCTGAAGTGATTGTGGTTTTAGTCAGAGTTTTTCTTTGTAGGAAATCAAACAGAGGGGAAGGGGAAGGCCCTTTGAGTGATGTGTCTTGTAAAATAACTTGGAAAAGAAAATAGAATATTGAATGAATGATTGTGTGCTTTGGCTTGGGGAGAAATATGTAATTCATAGAGAAAAAAGTAAGGATTTAGCAGAGAGAAGCAACTAAGTGGGAAACACATGTTTAAGAAGTTTCCTGGACAAATAGAAATTATTATTTACTTTATTAGCATTAATTATTATAATAAAACTAATATTTATTGAGGTTTTATCATATGTCAGACACTCTTGAGCATTGTATATCACTCTCATGTAACCTTCACAATAACATTATAAGGAAAAAATATATGAGAGTTCCAATTTTCAGATGAAGAAAGTAAAACTAAATAGCTTACATAAATAGCCCAAGGTTTCACCACTGGTGAAACTATCAGTTTCACCACTGATAGTTCACCACTATCCAGATTTCTGACTCAGAGTCCAGCTTCTCAATCACCAAGCTATGTTTTCTGTCATGCACAATGAATAATAACTGCCTAGAATATAAATTTAAAAAATGCTTCTTTTTTATTTTTATATTTTGTTTATGCAGCTACAATTGTTCTTGGTTTTTCTCTCCTTCCACACCTCCATCCAGCCCTCCTCTCTCCCCTCCCCAAGTGAGTCCTCATATTATTGTCTGTGTCCATGAGTCATACATAAATGTTCTTTGGTTAATCACTTTGCCATCTTTGATCCCCCTCACTCTTCTGCAATGGCTGTCAGTCTGTTTTATAGATCTAAGCTTCTGTTACTATTTTGTTCAACATATAAGTGAGATTGGATGGTATTTTTCTTTCACTGTCTGACTTAACTCACTTAGCATAATTTTCTCCAGGTCCATCCATGCTATTGCAAAATGTAAGAATTTTTCTTTTTTACTGCTATGTAGTATTCCATTGTGTAAATGTACCAAAGATTTTCTATCCACTGATCTCTTGATGGACACTGAGTCTGTTTCCAAATCTTAGCTATTGTAAATAGTGCTTCTATAAATATAGGGGTGCATATATATATATATATATATATATTTTGTATTGGTGTTTTAGAATCCTTTGGGCATATTTCCAGAAGTGGAATCACTGGATCAAAAGAAAGTTCTGTTTTTAATTTTTTAAGGATACTCCATATTGTCTTCCACAGTGGCTGTACCAGAATGCATTCCCACCAACAGTGCACTAGGGTTTCCTTTTCTCCACATCCTTGCCAACATATTGTTTATTGATTTATTGATGGTAGCCATTCTGACACGTGTAAGGTGATAGCTCATTGAGGTTTTAATTTTTATTACTCTGATGGTTAATGATGTTCAGCATTTTTTCATATGTCTATGGGCCCTCTGTATGTCATCTTTGGAGAAGTGTCTATTCAAGTCTTTTTCCCATTGGGTTGTCTGCCTGACATTGAATTGTATTACTTCTTTGTATATTTTGAAGATTAAACCCTTATCAGATATATCATTGGTGAAAATGTTCTTCCATAAATTAGGTTTCCTATTCATCACATTGATGGTTTCTTTAGCTTTGCAGACTTTTAATTTGATATAGTCCCATTTGTTTATTTTCTCCTTTGTTTCCAATGCCTTAGGAGATACATCAGCAAAAATATTGCTATGTTACATATCTGAGATTTTACTACCTGTGTTTTCTTCTAGGATTATTATTGTTTCACAACTTACATTTAAGTACTTTATACATTTTAAGTTTATTCTTGTGTGTGGTATGAGCTGGTTCCCTAGTTTCATGTTTTTGTATGTGCCAGTCCAATTTTCCCAACATGTACTGAAGAGACTGTCTTTGCTCCACTGTATGCACTTGCCACCTTTGTCAAATATCAGTTCATCATACAGGCATGGATGTATTCCTGGGCTCTCTGTTCTGTTCCACTGATCTATATATCTGTTCTTATGCCAGTACCAGGCTGTTTTTATTACAGTGGCCATAGAATATAGTTTAATATCAGAATTTGTGATACATCCAGTTTTGTTCTCCTTTTGCAAGATTGCTGAGGCTATTAGGGTCTTTTTAGGTTCTATATAAATTTTTGGAATATTTATTCTAGTTCTGTGAAATATTCCATTGGTATTTTAATAGGAATTGCTTTGAATGTATATAGATTGCTTTGGGTAGAATGGACATTTTAATCATGTTAATTCTTCCAATCCATGAACAATGTATATACTTCCACTTACTTGTATCTTCCTCAACTTCTTTCTTCAGTGGCCTATAGTTTTCTGAATATAGGTCTTTTACCTCCTTGATTAAATTTATTCTTAGGTACCTTATCATTTTTTGTTGTTGCACTAGTAAATGGCATTGATTTCTTAGTTTCTATTTCTAAAAATAAAAATAAAATAAAAATAAAATGTTGTTCATTGTTCATTTCCTCAGCAGGTGGATTTTAAAATTATGGTATGTTTTTCAAAGCTTAGTTTTCTGACATTCAAACAAAAATATTTTTTAATTAAAAATAGTAATGTGACCTGGCTGGCATGGCTCAGTGGATTGAGCACTGCACTGTGGAACAAAGGGTCGCCAGTTCAATTCCCAGTCAGAGTACATGCCTGAGTTGCAGGCCAGGTCCTCAGTACAGTGTGTGCCAGAGGCAACCACACATTGATGTTTCCCTCTCTCTCTCCCCTTTCCCCTCTCTCTACAAATAAATAAATAAATATTTAAAATATAAAAATAAAAATAGTAATGCTTCTTGTTCTTCTGATTACCTAAAAATTGTTTTTTATCAGTTCTTTAGTTTTACCTAATTTTTCAGTAGACCAACTCAGAAAGCTAGTGATAATTGTTGGGAAAACTTATAAACAAAATTAATTCACCTATTTTTCTTTAATAAGAACCAGTTTATAAAAATTATTGATTATTATTAAATTAATAATTGCTTATTTTCAACAGAATGATTGTGCTTATGCTCAGTAGGTCCCAAGTTGTTTCTTAAATGTTTAAATTGACCCAGATAGAGAACCTATTTATCATTTATGCATTAATAAATCTTTTTTAAGTTCTAATTTTATATGTAAGGTTATATTTTTAATGTTTTTAATTTTGTACAACTTCATTTGCTATGATTACTCCTCCAATTTTTTCTTCAGATTTGTTGTGATCTAAAACCCAGAATTTGTTTTGTGCCTGAAATTTGACTATCTTAGTCAATGTGGTATATTTTCCTCATATAAAAGTTATGGCCATTTTGTAAAGAACATTGGCAACTTTATTTCATTTTCTTTTTATAATGCATTGGGCATGTTATTGCTTCTAGAGATACCACTTACAAAAATACTAACCCAAAAGAAGCTGATTTAAATATACTCTATATTGTTCATGACACTAATAAAAATCAATACTGACATTCTAATCTTATTATTATACTCTATGTCACCTACTATCATCACCATTAAAAAAGCAATTTATAACCACAGCCCACCTTTAATCATAATCTTTATTAGCATTTCCAGTCTTCCCCCAACACAGTTCAGGTTAGGGCTGGTATTGAAAAGGCTCTCTTGACTCTTTCTGAATTAAGCCATTGTACTGTCTTTTCTCTTTTCTTTCATTGTTATTATTCTTAATCTGATCCTCATGTTATTGCAACCACTAATGTTGGTA